CAACCACAGGTGACAAAGGGATTCTAATCAGGAGCCCCACCCTACCCTGCCCTGTCTGCTTCCATCAACCACCCAGGGATCGGATTGCGCACAGAAGACCCACCCTACCCAGATAAATACCCCACTGGCAGACTTCCACTATCGACACTACCTCCACTACCCAGCCACCGCCACACTCCAGGACACTTTTCGGACACATCATAAGACACTAAATACCCATCTTCCGGAATTGTCATACCATATTTGATAGGGTTCAAATATGGTAACACCTACAAGGGTGATTAGAGGTCGCCCCAAAAGCCTCTATCCCTCTCGGAAAAACTGGCAAGCTACTGAAAGTATTCTTCCCGCACGGAAGAGCCTGGCAAGCTATCCATTGGTATTCGATATGCCAAAACCAGTAACTACAACTGGTCTCATTCAGAAAAACATTGGATAAAGATATACAATCATCTTGCATATTGCTTTATTCTTTAAACTATGTCCTTTGGAGAGCACTACGAGGCGACTGTGAAGTACCCATCTCTGATAGGATGCCAGACCCATGCATTCTGTAGAGTTAATAAGTCACGCAGATGTCCAGACGGGTCATCTAGTTCTCAGTGGGAGACAATTTGAATGTTCCCTACCCCTTTGCAGGAAATAGTCGGAAATGTCTAAGCATTCGGGCTGACAATTCTGGTAGGTGAGAAGAGAGTGGCAGAGACCAGAGAAACAACACAATGCTCAAGATACAGGACAACCCCCACAACTATCAACTCCTGTGAGTACACAAAACTTCACTCATGTGGAGACGTCCACCTAGCAGAGGAGCTCAGAGCACTGGCAATGGCTGTCCTTCTGGCTGGGACCTTTTTGACCAGGCTTACTTTCTCATATAGCTGGCTCCCTGCTGCCCCATCTCCATTGCATCTTTCGCTTTTTGAAAGGCTTTTTTCAACACGATCTGTTTTTCTCAGAATTAAAGCACTGCAGTTTCCGCTTAGACTTCCAAACCACACATCCAACCATTGCCTTTCTCAATTATACTTAACTCTATTACATTTTTCCACTGAACTATGAACAGAGTGTATCGTAGGCTTTTACTTGATTATCGTTCTCTTCTGGAATGTTGACTCCACTATGATCTTTGGCTTGTGGTCACTAATGTGTCCTCATGACCTAGAGTATATCTAGCATTCAATATACAAGTAAGTAAATGAAAAAAGAAACAGACAAAGGGTTCATAGCAATAGTACAATGGGTGGGGCCTTTGCTTTGCAAGTGACAGACCAGGGTTTGGTCCTTGGCACCCCATATGGCCTGATAAGCCCTTCTAGGAGTGATCCCTGAGAACAGAACCAGGAGTAAGCCCTGACCACTACTGATTATGCCCCAAAATAACAATGAAAGAAAACAGATACATTATTAGATGTAGGACATGCATTCCATTCTATCACCATTTACTCAAATACAAATAATACTAAAGAAAATATCTTAAAACATATACTTTTAGTCAGAGTGTTTTGCAAAATGGGAATTTTTCATAATTACATATGAGTATCATTCTATTTCCACTCTCTCAGACATTATAGATATACCTTGAAAATACTTTTCTATTTGATACAAAGATTTTATTTGCATTTTTGATAATTTGAGAACGTTAGTGTATCTATCTATATTTGTTGACTGATTATTGGTCACCTTATAATTTATTTTGTAAATCTTCTGATTGTCCAGTTTGCCTTTTAAAGTTTATTTGTAATAGTTAACAGTATGAGGCCAAAGAGATAGTACAGTGGGTAGGGCACTTGCCTTGTACTTGCTGACCTGGGCCAACCCCCAGCAGCACATCTGTCACCCTGAGTGAGCCTCATCAGGAGTGCTTCCTGAGAGCAGAGGCAGGAGTAAACCCTGAGTACAGCTGGGTATGGCAGAACAACAAACGAACAATAAAAAAGTTATCTGCATGTATATCACACTTGCTTTCTGCAAGAAAAAAATGTGCAAGCTATTAGCTGCTTGTTGCTTTTGTTTATGGAAGTTTTAGGCCCTAGCTATAATTTTACGTAATTAAATATGCATTTATTTTTGTTTTTAGTTTCTGGTCCTTTGAAAGTTAGATCCTGTCACTAAATTGCACAAAATTATAATGTTTACTTGTAAAAGTTTTTATTTGTTATACTTCAAGTTTTCAAGTCATTTGAAATATATGTTTGTGTGAAATACAGAGAAGAGAAACTAGAGTATAATTTTTTTCATGTATATCACCAGATATGCAATTACCATATTTATTTTATAACTCACTTTATACTAACCTTAGTTTTATACTAAATCCTCTTAAGTATTAGCCTCAGTATTTTATTCTATATCCTGTTTCATTGACTTATCTATTATATATTAGTATATTTACAAGGAAATACAACTTTGTAGGTCAAAAGAAATAGGATTATTAATTTGAAGTTGAACTAGGAAAAATTTTAAGACAAGAATGGATAACCATGCTGTAATCGAATATTATGGTATATGAATTATTCCAGGAATACAATAAATTTGTTCTTCTCTTTTCATAGTGATAAAATATCCCTGTCAATTTTATATACTTTTTCTACCAAAAGAAAAATACCTTAAGGGGCTAGAGATAGTAGAGTACAAAGGTCACTTATTTTGCAATCAGTGACTCCATTCAATCACCAAAATCTCATAGGGTCCTTTGAGCCCTGCCAGGAGTAAGCCCTGAGCTCCACTGGGTATGTCTCCCCCCTCCACTCCATTTTTATTTATTTCTATGTGACATTACTCTTTTTATGTGTGCCTGTACTGAATATTAAATACCAAAACACTTAGGGTTCTCTGGAGAACCAGAATTGATAGATGTGTATAAATATAGAAAGACAATTTCAAGGAAATGTTCATGGAAACTGGGATATCCAAACTCTGAATCCCGGGTCACAAGGTTGAAGATCCAGGATTGTGAATCTGTTGGATTACAGGTGGATCTGTTGGGGAGTCACCCTTTGCCTTTTGCTTCAATCCCATCTTCCAGCTGATTGGATGAGGCCCACCAACATTATGGAGAGCATTTTGCCCAAAGTTCACAAATTCAATGTTGACCTCATCTAGAAACTGAACCCTGCATGGGGCCATTGCTCAATCATCTGCGCACATGCTTTACATGCAGGAAACCCAAATTTGATTCCTGGAACCACACAGTTCCCTGACCACTGCCAGAAATTATCCCTAAAGTACAAAGTCCTCTGAAAACTGGTAGGAGTGGCAAAACAAAACAAAATTTTCTCCATGGCAGAGGAACCTCTAGGCATATCACAGGATATTATCCTCAGTCCTCAAGAGATAAAATGTTCTTAGACTGATCACTTTCAAAGTTACTTTGGGAGGGCTGAAGAGCTAGTACAGGAGTCAGGGCTCTTACATTGAGGGCAGCCAATACAATTTTGATCCTCACACTCTAGATCCCGTGAGCCCAATCAAGAATGATTGCTGCATGCAGATCCAGGAGTAAGCCCTAAGCACTGTTGGATGTATCTCCACCTCCACATCACTTTTATTTATTTCCATGTAACATACTCTTTTTATGTGTGCCTATACTGAATGTTAAATACCACAACACAAATAGAACTTACGGGGTGTGTTTAAATGGAGAAAGAAAATTTCAAGGAAATGTTCATGGAAACTGGGAAATCCAAGCTTTGAACCCTGGGCCGCAAGGTTGAAGATCCAGGATTGCGAATGAAATTTGCGGTCCCAACACAATAGCAAAAGTTACTTTGGGGGAAGGGTTCCAACAACCCATATGCATTCAGATCATATCTTCTTTAATGAAGCTGATGTCAGCATGGAGAATGCACCGAGATGACAGAAGAATTATGAAATATTTATTGCCTCTTCAGCTAGAGGAGGTTCTTTCCTGACATGAGAATGTATGGTTGCTGTTAGTCTTCTTGACTGGGTACCACTCTCTTCTCAGTTGTATGTTTGGTTCTCAAGAAGATAGGTGGGGAAGAGGGAAAGAAGAATGGGAGGAGAGATGATAAAGTGAGAATATCCCACCAACTCTGCAGAAGATACGGATCTCCTGGGTTCCTATACCAAGTAAGAAATGGAACTGAGCTTTCAAGGGCAGGCTTATTTATCGTCTCACCCACCTCTAAGGATTCAGAATCTGTCATTCCCACTATGCCATACGTTTCATAGAAACGTAGGAAATGGATACGATAGCTAATTTATAGATTTGAAAAGGGAATCCTGGGGAGATACTCAAAGTTACACAATCTGTGGCAGGTGTTCCAACTTCAACATTCAACTGCTCACACTTCTCTGAGGGGTCCGGAATGGAAATACATAAAATACCATGTAAAACTGAAAATAGTCATAACAAGGAGAAAAACTTTTTTTTCAATCTCCAGAAAAGCCAGATTCTTTGAAAAGAATTCACGGAAAAATATATATAAGGTTACAATTTTAGTTTTAACCTGACTCTATTAACAGGAAACAGATGAAAGATGAACATTAATTTGAAATTACAGGATAAAAAGTAAAACTCATCAACATTTTGTTCATTTCTATACTTCCATAATTATTCCTTCGACATTCCTGACACCTTAGGGAATAAAATTTCCTGGAGTGAAATCAGTGGTCAGTGTAGAGAACTTTTCCCATTGCTTTCTGTATATCCTTGCCTCTTCCATACTTTAATCTGAATGCCCTTCTCTCACACCAGTCCCAACTGGGAACTTTTGAGACACTTGTAGACAAAATAAAATCTGTGATCAGATAAAAATCTCTTAATATAAGAGACATAGAATTATACAGAGTATATCAGTTTTGATTCTACACAATAATTAAATAATTAAAATAGAAGCTAACTCTTCTTATAAAATCCATTGAATTTAGTCCCAGCCAAACAGATTTAAATAAGTTACTCTGACATTCACTCAAATAATTAAAGCATATTTCTAACCAAGTGGTTTATAAGGCCTGGCTATCCCTACTGGGTTTACCTGGGGTATGATCAGAGACTGGAGTCAACGTTTCTGTAGAAATTCTGTTGCCAATATTCCAGTCCAAATCATCATGTGTGTCTTGAATAAGATGGCAGGCCATGGTCCAGTTCGCAGAAGTTGTTTCAAAACTGCAACTCCCTGCTGTGCTTGTATATTGGCCTAGGGAAACAAAAATATTAATAGAATATTCTAGAATGTTTATAGCACATGCTATTATATTCCATTGATGTATATTTAAATATTTTATTCATATATAATTTATGCATACAATTTAAAACAAGGATATCTGTAATCATTGGTGAACTCACTATAACATCATTCATCAGATAATCTAGAAGCTGAGTAAGAATATTCTCATATAATGATAGTTGGAAATGATCACTCGGGACAAGAACTGAGTGATGAAAGTACATAAAAGAATATACATGATAACATTTCAGTAGCTGTATGGCGAACCATAATTCCCAGAAGCAAAGAGGGAGCAAGAGAGAGAATAAAAGTGTCTGACATAGAAGCCGACTGGGATGTGGGGGTTGGAGGGAGGGAAACTGGGAACATTGGTGGTAGAAATGCATACTAGCAAAGGAACAGGTGCTGGAACATTATATGACTGAAATCCAATCATGAACAACCTTGTAACTGTGTATCTCATGGTGATTCCATTAAAAAGTAAATAAAAATAGTTTAATATAAAAGAATATTGTCATTTATTCATGAAGCAGCTATATGAATTGACAAATAATATTTACAAAACATAGAGAAAGCTGTCCACACATGAAAACTGAACATAGCATTATGACAATATAGGTAATCGGTTGGATAAATCCAGTTTCAACATGTTCAATGTTGATCCAGTTTCTATGTTCACTCTGGTGTTTGAACAGTGTAGACCTTTAGTGTGGCAAAGACATTTTCAAAATAAAATGAGTTTTGGGGAGAAGTAGTAAACTGTTTAAGACACAGACTCTCTTGGCATACTACAACAAGCTTCTACACATAATATTTCAAAGCAAGTTACTAAATAATGGAAGAAGCTCCCTTTCAAAGGTGATGATTGATAGCAATTAAAATGAAGTCATTCACAATGAGAATATATGACTAATAATAATTACATGTCTACTGTCTAGTCATCTGTGAAGAGGGGGCCAGTCTAACATAGTCATATTAGCTTTCATTTCTCTAAGCACTATTTTGAGCACTCACTGTAAAAATATCTATATTGGATGAATAGATTATTAGTACTTAATCAGTATGAAATAACTGAGATTGTCATCAACTTTTTCTTCTCTTTTCAGAAGCCAACAATTGTGTTATTTCTAGCATTCCTTCTCCAGATTGCTTTTTATTCATAATATTTTCTGAACATAAAAAATACGAGCAGAGAAAAAGCAGCATCAGAAGAAAAACAAACTGTTAAAATGAATACTCAAACATACAGTAAATACAGCTGTAGTACTTTCATAATTTTTTTCTGCATTCCTGAGACTATTTCTGGAGGAAGTGGGTGTCTACTCTCCAGTCATCTGTGAAGAGGAAGATGCAACAAAATATCTCAAGTAAATGGGTGCATCTTAATTCTTAAATTTTTTATGGATTCCTAAGACTATTTCCAGAAAACATCAGCATTTTCTTTCTCAAGGTATGGGTATATCTTAGTTCTTAACTCTAGAATAATTTTTTAAATTTTTAATTTTTTTGATATAAGAGTACTGCTATTTGTAGGGCTGGAGTGATAGCACAGAAAGTAGGGCACTTGCCTTGCATGCGGCTGACCCGGGTTTGATTTCTTTATCCCTCTTGGAGAACCTGACAAGCTACCAAGAGTATCCTGCCTTCGCGGCAGAGCCTGGCAAGCTCCCTGTGGCATATTCAATATGCCAAAAACAGAACAACAAGTCTCTCAGTGGAGACGTTACTGGTGCCCGCTCGATTGATCAACAATGGGAGGACAGTGCTACAGTGCTACTGCTATTTGTTCAGTCATTGATTAACTGATAGAATCATTTTAATTCTGTGCATAACCTTCTTTCAAAGGGATCGATAATCTATTGGTTTTATCTGCTTATTTATGGGCTCAGTAAATTCTTTTCTAATGCTTGTGCCAAATTTATATATGTTGAGGGCTGTTTCTGTCTCTCCTTTATGAATGTTTTCACTAACAAATGGAGGCTCATTGGCCTACTCTTCTTCCCCTTCTTTTTGGGAAAAAAACGCCATTTTCACCAGGTATTCACCTGCTTTCTTCAAATTACATGTTTAAGATGAAATAGACCTTCTGCATCTACAGAGGTGACCTATGCCTTTTCTAAGTGCTATGATAGTTTCTCTACCTCATGTTGATAACTGTAGGCATAGTCTTAAGATGCAATTGTAGACAATAAGACTCAGTGGAGAGTGGGGTAGGAGAGATAGTAAAGCATGCAAGGTTTTATTATACCTCGCATGCAGCCAATCAAGGTTAAATCCCTGGCACCCCATGTGGTCTTCTGAGCTCCACCCCCATGAATGATTCCCCAATGCACAGCCAGGAATAAGCCCTAAGCACAGCTAGCTTCCCCACCCCCCCCAAACAAACAAAAATAGTGTTACTGAAGAAAAGATGCCTTGTATGAAGGAAAATTACTTTGTTCTTCAGAAGAACAAAATTGTTTTGTTCCTTCTCATAATATTGTGGTAAGGTATGATGCTCGGAAAGAAAGGGATTATATGGGCATTGATTTTATATCAGTCAGTTACATGAAGATGCACAGAACATAAAGAAGGAAAGTGATTACATAGTTACGTACTTAGAAGACAAATGTCAATCTGTTGAATTAAGTAACTCCAGAGCTACTTTGCTTTTGGGCATCTTGCTATATAAGACAGTATCTATTGCTTAATAATTCTATCAGAGAAAATACCTGTGCATTCTATTGAAAACCCAAATAGTTCTAGTTCAAAGCAGAGAGAAATTAATTTATCTCTAATAAAAGGAAGTTGTCACTTGAAGAAGGTATTGTGATTCAAGCATGCAGTTGTAAAGCCTAGTTTCCTCCCCCCACCCCCATCCCACTTTTTATCTAAATTCTCTCACCCTCGTGTTCATTCATGATTACTAGCTTAACTCCTGAGACCACATATGGTATGGTCCTCTGAGAACTGCCGGTCATGACCAGCCAGGTTTGACCCAAAAACTAAATAATAATTAATTTTAAATGAATAAAAATAAAATGGTCACGGTCACGGTCCTCCCGTTGTTCATCGATTTTCTCAAGTGGGTCCAGTAATGTCTCCATCGTGAGACTTCATTTACAGTGACTCATACATTTTTAAATAGGTAGAAGAGATACAAAATAAAACTTTATTCTCAACTCACAATAAAAAAGTCATGAGGAGTGACTTGAATTTGCTTCAAAATCCATATAAGTAACATATAAGCGAGCCATTCAATAGAATTGACAAATTTCAAGAAACTATAAAAATAACGAAGCAAAGTGATTAAAATCATTAACTTAAAAAACTGAAAAAATATTTTCTTCATCTAACATCATTTTATTTTTGAAGGATATCATAAAATATTGTTATATTCATAAAACAAATAAATAAATGAGTCTCAAGGCTAAATAATTGCCAAGCAAGCAAGGAAGAATGTAAAAGTGAAGGATGAAGTTTAACAAACCAAGGGTCAAAGATTTTCTTTATATTTCTCCAAAATTAATATTGAATAACACACTCCACTATCCAAGATAGATGGATCGTTATTAACTATTAACTAGTAGTTACATACCCATAGTTACTTCCAATATATCCCAAAACTTGCAACATAAATTAGTGATGAATCAATGTGCGGGATAAGTCACCCTTGAGTGAGATGTGTGTGAGGTCTTCCTTTTGGATGTGAAATAAATACACCTGAAGATTTTGAGAAAAGTGGCTGTTTTGTCAACAAATTGTTGTCATTTTAACAAATTCAAACACCTCCTGCAGCTGCTCATCAAAATTGAACAGTTTCTGAAAGTCCAACCCAACTTCATACACTGTCACATCAAAACGTAAAAAATCCATAGGGGAAAATACTAAAGAAATCTGAAAATAAAAATAAATCGAGCAATAGAAAAGGGGGGTCATTGAAATCAAAAACTTAATACCTAATAATTTTCATACACTTTATTTTAATTTTATTTGTTTTGGGGCTACACCCAGGGGTGGTCTAGGATTTGTTCCTGGCTCTGTAATCAGGAATCACACCTGGCAGTGCTTGGGGGAACCAAATGCAGTTCTGGGGATCAAACTTAGGTTGGCTGCATGTAAGGGAAGCACTACTCTCTGTTTTATCTCTCCAGATTGCACTTTAGAAACCTAAGTTTACACTGAACACATATACACCTATTCTTGCATAAATGTGTAATAAATTGTGAGCAATAATATTACTACTGATAATATTTGTTATATTAAAAAGTAACAAAAAATTTTATTAACATTTTTTAAAAGCTAATGGTATTTTTTTAAAGTCCTCATATAAGTTAAATTTTCAAAATCTGTCACTGTCCATCTGTCACTGTCCTCCCGTTGTTCATCGATTTTCTCGAGCCGGCCCAGTAACGTCTCCATTGGAGACTTTGTTGTTACTGTGTTTGGCATATCGAAAATACATCATGGGTAGTTTGCCAGGCTCTGCCGTGCAGGCGAGATACTCTCGGTAGCTTGCTGGTCTCTCCGAGAGGGGAGGAGGAATCGAACTCAGGTCAGCCATGTTGGCTGCGTGCAAGGCAAATGCCCTACTGCTGTGCTATTGCTTTGGCAGCACATATACTAAAATTTTCAAAATAGAAGTGAATTTTTGAAGACTAAGATAATGAATTTCCTATTTTTACCCATCCAATAGGGCTTGAGTGATAGCACAGCAGGTAGGGAGTTTGCCTTGCATGTGGTTGACCTGGGTTCAATTCCTTCGACCTTCTCGGAGAGCCCGACAAGCTACCGAGAGTATCTTGCCTAAATGGCAAAATCTGGTAAACTACTATTGATGTATTTGATATGCCAAAAACAGTAATAACAAGTGTTACAATTTGTTTTGAGACATTACTGGTGCCCGCTTGAGCAAATCGATGAACAACGGGAGGACAGTGCTACAGTGCTACCCATCCAATAATGCAGAAGGTTATTCCTAGCCATAAAGGAATGGAAACCTATGGAAAGTATAATTTTATATAAATATCTCAAGTGTTTATATATCCTATAGTAAAAGGGAAATAATTCTTAGTAAGCATCTATGTGTTTTCTCAGTTGTCATTTGATTATAGTATGTCAATATTCTCATGTCTTATATTAATTTTCCTTTAGACTATTTATTTATAATGTTTTGATATTGCAATGGTGATTTTTAAATATTATGCTTATATATTGTGGGGAAAATTAAGATTTCACAAAATTATTCAGAACATATTTTATTGAACTCAATAATATGAGTTTCTTCAGTTGATATAAAAATTCAATTTTGGTGTACTTAAAATAAGTTAGGATATACTAAAATATTGAACTATTATAAATTTCATTGGAGAATATGTGCATATTCAAATATATATTAGAATTAATACATACTTATTAAGAGTGCCCTGCCCCCGCATCTAGCTGTCCTCACCGGGGCCCCTTGGAGGGGGGAGGGTTGAGTTTCTCTCTCCCCTCACCCCGAGCAGAGCCCCAGCAGCTGAGGACCTCCGGAGCCAGCCACAGCCATGCTGGAACCACTCTCCACATGTCCAGAGGGCCTCATGCATGAAAGAACTGGCAGAGGAACCCAGGCATGCGTGTCCTGGGGCTGAGGTCGCCAAGCCTACTCGGATTGGGACTAGGCCTTCTCCACACAGACACCCCCATCTTCCAGTAGGTAGGTGTCACACCCACCAGCTGCCGCCAGCGCCAGTTTGGTCCCATCAATGGCCAAGACACAGAGACTATAAAACCTAGCTCCTGGAAGCGCACGGCCGCATTTGCAGCCACATAACATCTTATCATCTTATTTTTCCTTTGGAGAACCTGACAGGCTACAAAAAGTATCCTGCCTGCACAGCAGAGTCTGGCAAACTTCCCATGTCGTACTTAATATGCCAAATACCAGTAACAATGATGGGTCTCATCCTCCTAATCCTGAAAGAGCATTGAAATGGCTCTTTTAAAATCTCAGGGTTAGGTAGAAAGAGACTTTACTGGTGCCTGTTTGAGACAATCAACGAACAACAGGATGATCATGAATACATACTTATATTAATTTTAAAAGTTAATATATATAATAGTGTTCTATTAAAAATCTAGTTTCAAAGAGTACCAATAACTCTCAATTACTTCTATGCATTCATTTTAAATTAAATATGGATAAAAATTAAGAACAATATGTTAAGTGAAATAAACCAATACCAAAGTGACAAATACTATCATATCCAGAAAAATAAAATAGCAGTAAGGTAAAAATTAAAATTAAAACAAGATGAGGAGGGGACAGGGCAAGTTTCTTACTGGATGTGAGACTTTCCCAGTGAGAAATGGAGAGTCTGGTCTTGTTTTCTCTTGCATCTGAGCTGAGTTTGTTTTTATTTGCATAACCTTTAGAAAGAGCCACTAGTAACAGACATTCTGTCACTTCAGAGACTAAATTAGAATTCTTGCTGTTTTTCCTGAAGCTCTTGGAATACTCACACCCTGAATGTTCACGAGAGTCAAAACCATGCAAGGGTCTGACTGTTCTCTTTCAACCAAGTTCTGGAAAACCCAAGCCTCAGGGATTATCCCGGAGTTTGAGATGCCAGGTGGAGCAGAGAGATAGCAGGAGTATCAATGTACTGAAAGCACCAAGACAGAGTCATCTTGGAAGTAAGCCTGAAGCAAAAGCAGTTTTAATGATGTACATCAGACAAAATACACCTAGAAGATTCATTCAGGCCCTTGTTTTGAGGTAGTGAAATAACACACTCCAACAGATAGCCTTTATGGTATAAGATTCCATATTAATGTCCATCAAGAATTTGAGCCATGGGGGGCTGGCAATGAGTTTTCTGGGAAGTGATCAAACCTAAATGTTGATTAAAGGAGTTACTCAAATTATGAGATGCCAGCCTAAGGTTGTGCAAAGATTTGAAGCCAGAAACTGCACCAGCATAGAAGGCTGTCCCCAGCCCCCCAACACCTGCCCACCAACCCACATACAACCCAGGAGGAGGGAGGCTTCGTCAGGAGCAAAAGCAGTGATCAGGAAATGAAAGATCACTAAGAGCTCCAGGTTCTTCCTCTCAACAACATGCTACCCACAGACTTATAGAAAGCCCCAGGTGGGGTCAGTTTGGGAAAAAAAAATAAAATATATATATATATATATATATATATATATATATATATATATATCTGACTTTGCTAAGGCCGGCAGCGCACATGCCCATTCTGGGGTCACCTGCACTCAATTGGGATGTTTTTCCTTGCTGGAGTGAACTATCTCTCTTGAATGCCTTATACACTGTTCCTTTCTCTTTCTCTCTCGTCCTCTCCTGCCTCGTATTTCTTGCAATAAAACTATTTTCCTTGGGGTATGATGCTGCCAATAGGTCAATATGTACCTGCAGGGCAAATGCATCAGCAGCCTGATGGTGCCTTCAGGTTTCCCGACACCCCAAAATTTTTGCTGTGCCTTTGGCCAGACCCCAAAAAATTGGGACCAAGATTACTAAGAAATTAAACAGTCAAAAGTTAGGTATGTGGGCACCATGCCCACAGACTACCTCTGACTCAGCTATACAAGCTCTTTTATTGGCCGTATTTCAGAAACTCATAGATAAGACCAAAAGCCATGTTTAATCTTGAACCCATGCATGGCTGAACAGACTGGGGTAAATCAGAGGTGGGCAGGTTGGCTTGTGTCTGCTGAAGCAGAGCAGTGGCTTGCTCCACAATCGAAAATCACCGCCATACCTCCGGTCTGAATCCACGATCTCAGGATGAACCTCACCAAGATATGATCTGCTGAAAATTCGGGTATGCAGGTTTTGTGACTGAAATTTCCAAACTTTCACAGAGCTGGGGTGGGCTTTTCCCCCCACTTCCCAATGCACATGGAAGCATGGCAGTCACCTCCACGAACCAACTTCAGCACCACCTTGTAAACTTTATTACTGGCCTTGCTTCAGAGACCCATAAATAAATCTCAAAAGAGATCAAAAGCCAGAGACACAACAGTGAGTCCGGGAAGACAAAATGGAGATCTCGCTGGGCCCCATACAGAGCTAATTTCACCAGGGCACCCCAGACGGAGCAGGTGCATTCTCCCCGCCTATTGCAGATGGAATCCCAGTGACCAAGAGCTTCCACAAGCAAGGCCCTTGGTCCACTTGAATCCCAAAATGGATTAGTGCCCTACAAAAATGTCTCTGGAACCCAACCCCTTACAATTTAGGATTCCAGAAGCGTGTTGCCGCAGTACCCAAGATATTCAAAATGAGCAATGGACAATAAATGATCGAGCATCTGCCTCTGGCAGTGAGGCTTGAATGGTAGTGGGATAATTTGAGCAAAATCTAATGCCCCAAAATAGAGAGAGAGTATTGGAAAAATTGCCTGCCATGGAGACAGGTTGAGGACTGGTATTGGTGCGGGGGATACATTTGGGACACTGGAAGTAGAAAATGTGCACTTGTGGAGGGATAGGTGTTCAATCATTGTATGGCTGAATCTCGAGCATGAAAACTTTGTAACTATCTCATGGTGATTCAATTAAAAAAAAGGAAATGAAAAAAGTAATGTGGAGTGGAGTTCATGCCCAATTCAATCAGCATAATCAGTGGCTGAATAAATAGCATTATCCTTTCCTTTTACTGCAAAAAGCAACCCCTCAGGACCGGAGGGATAGTACAGCAGGTAGGGAGTTTGCCTTGCACGTGGCTGACCCAGGATCAATCCCCAGCATCCCATATGGTCTCCCAGCACCGACAGGAGTAATTCCTGATTGCAGACTCTGGAGCAATCTCTGATCATCACTAGAAGTGAGCCCAAAAGCAAAAAACAAACAAAGAAACAGAAAAAGCAACTCCTCACTCCAGCCAAAAGTCACAGCTCCCACAAAACTCCTGTGCCAGGAAGATCAAGTGGAACTTATGAACAGCTTGATGGATTCCCAGTGTGGCTGTGGGATGACGATGTCCACACTGCAAGGCTTGTGGCAGACTTTACCAGTCTGAACAGTCAGATGTTTCTCCAAGGAGAGAGAAGTGGGTTGAACAGGAGGGTGGAAAGGCATGATCTCTCTCTCTCTCTCTCTCTCTCTCTCTCTCTCTCTCTGCCTTTCTCATCCCCCACCCTCTCATGCATGCATGCACCCTCTTTCTTCCTCGCTCCCTACTTCTCCCACTGACCTCAAGTTTAAAAACATGCTCATTACAAACATAGCTTTATACTTAACTTTAAAATTCATTTGAATTAACACTGGGATTTAAACACCACAGGGTCTCATTGATTCCTTTTTTGTATGCGTGCAATGAAACTGATAAAATTAATCAGTAACTAGTATTTATCTAAAGTTCTTGGTTTTAGCCTCACTGATAAACATAGCTATCTTTTGGGTAGCACTGTCCTGTCCTCCTGTTGTTCATCGATTTGCTCAAGTGGGCACCAATAAGTATACATTGTGAGACTTGTTATTACTGTTTTTTGCATATCAAATATACCACGGCGAGCTTCCCAGGCTCTGCTGTGCGGGTGGGATATTCTCGGTAGCTTGCTGGGTTCTCGGAGAGGGACAGAGGAATCAAACCAGGGTCAGGGTCAGCTGCGTGCAAGGCAAACGCCCCTCACGCTGTGCTATTGCCCCAGTCCTTCTTTTGGGTAAGGAATGGAAAAGAAGTGAAAACAAAATGGGGAAAAAAAAGTTTATTATATTTGTTTCTGGCCAATTTAATTCTGATGCTCCTCTTCCCCTGAAAGGTTTTATACAATGATACTATGAGAAAAATTTTAACATGATCAATCATCAGTATCAAGGGGTCACTCTGCTAATAAAGTGACCTTTATTCTGCTATGGCACAGCAGATCCACTTACCACAGTGAGCTTCATCAGAACCATCAGAGCAGTCAGACTTAAAGTCACACACCAGGTGGGATGCAATGCACTTCCTGTCTCGGCACAAGAAATCTGTGGTTTCTGGGCAAATCTCAGAAGTCTCTCCCACTGTGGGGAAAAAAATAACAATAAAAATAAACAGGTTTATCTTTAACATGTTTTATAATTTAAAACATATTTATGTAACAAATAAAATTTGATATTATAATAATAAAAATATATTTATTTTTAACATGTTGGGTTTAAAGCATTTATTTTATAAATAGAAATTTGATATTTTCATCAAATTTGAATAGGCCTCATAGTCATTTTATAGATTCCAAGCAAGGAATTAAATAAATTTTATATTTTAACAAGTGCCCAAATTTCGGCCAACTCCCCTCCTTCTCCTGCCCACACCCCCGCCTTGCTCAGCAATACAGTTGGTTCATTGGAAATGTATTTTTTTTGAGTTGAGAGTTCATAGTTTTCTAATACAGAAACACAAACTCCCCATTAATATATTAAAGATCTTTGGGGCTGGGATGAGGGGAGCGGGTTGAGCTTTCCTCCCCACCCTGACCAGGGCTTCCGCAGCCAAAGACCTCCAGAAGTAGCCACCACCATGCTGAGACCACTCTCCGCACACATGAAGGTACTGGCAGAGGAACAAAGGCAAGTGGGTTCCGGGGTTGAGATCTCCAAGCCTACTCGGATCAGGGCTGATCATCCTCCACCCAGATCCTCCGAATTCCAGTAGGCGGGGGTCACACCCACCAACTGGCCCCCTGGCACCGTGTAATCCCATCAATGGCCAAGACTCAGAGACTATAAAACCCAACTCCTGGAACCGCGCGGCCACATTCGCGGCCGCGTGACATCTTATTATGACATCTTATTATCTCATTCCTACTTTGGACAATCTGGCAGGCTACCGAATATAACCTGCCCACACGGCAGAGTCTGGCAAACTCCCCGTGGCGTACTCAATATGCCAAATGTCAGTAACAATGATGGGTCTCATTCTAAAGAGCCTTGAATATAGCACTTTCTTAAAAATCTCAGGGCTAGGATGAAGGAGACGTTACTGGGGCCTGCTCGAGGCAATCGACGAATAACAGGATGGTTGTGATTCAAGATTCGTGGGGCTGGGGTGGGGAATAACTCAAAAGGCTGGAGTTCACATTTTCCATGCTAGATAGAACTTTGTATTCAATACCTAATATTTATTGTGTGGGCTACTGAGTATTCTGGGAATGACCACCAGTCATGGACTCTGGAATAGTACCCAAGCATCATCAGGTGTCACTAGTAATTTTCTTTTGGGTTCACATGTATCGTCTCCTTCAGCTATATTTGTCAATTCTGTGTACCTAGTGTTCTGTGCAATTTTCTCTCTCCCCATGTCTTGCCATTCTCTTTGTCATCCAAGCCCTGGATTGAATCATCTCTGTCTCAAACCCCTATGAATCCCTTTCTTCACATATTAGATGTTATCACATCACAATAGAACTGTTTGCAAAATGAATCTAACACAGCACCCAAACCATATTCTATGCTTTACGAATTTTTGAACAGTATATGTGTGTGTGTGTGTTCTGCTAGGATTGGAATGAAGGAGATTGAATGATGGGTTTTATACCCAACCTATCTTTAAGTATTATTTTAACTATTATGAAGTCTAATTATATTACTTCCCAATTTCAATGCAATGAGTGTTAAAAGTCTATAATTGGAATTAGTTATAAAAATAAACTAACATTCTAAAACCTCAAAAATTTTGTTTTCAGATGTGGGGATTGTTGTGCTACATCTGGCAAACTCAGGGTTTACTCCTGATTCTGGTTTAGGGATCACTCCCTGAAGCTCGGGGACCAGTGCCTTAACACAGTATCATCTCTCCAGCCCTCCAAACACAGTCATTTCTTTGTAATATAGATTAATACAGGCTCAGAACTGGTGTGGATGAGTTGTGGGTAAGTGGCTCAGAGCGGAAATAATTTCCACAAAGGAAAATAGTGAAATTGTGTAGACTATATGATGGTACTTTCTAGTCTTGAAATTAATTCCATAATAAAATAGCTAAGCCCAACATAATTTCCAGAAATAATTTGCCAATAAAAATAGTCTAAATATGAATAATGAGGAGAGGTGTTTAAGACAACAACAAATATTTCAACTACAGGCATATGAAGCATTAAAGGTCATGTTTACTGAGTGGTTCAGAATCTCTGCCATAAGATTTTAATTAACTCAAGTGAGAATTTACAGTTAACTCAGAAGAGTATGTGGACCTAATTTAGTATACAAGCCCATACATTGGAGATTTAAAAAATATTTTTATGCCATAGGCTGTGAAGTCTTAAAATTATTTCACAGGGGGATAATTTGCTTGATAATCTAAATAACGGATTCTTTACTTTTCATTATTTTATGTTTTTGATCGAGGCAACAGTATTAAACATGACTTTATAATTCACATCACTGTCCTTCCGTTGTTCATCGATTTGCTTGAGCGGGCCCAGTAACGTCTCCATTTTGAGACTTGTTACTGTATTTGGCATATTGAATATGGCATGGGTAGCTTGCCAGGCTTTGTCGCGTGGGCGAGATACTCTCGGTAGCTTGCCGGGATCTCCGAGAGGGGTGGAGGAACTGAACCCAGCTCCGCAGGGCTGGCTGCGTGCAAGGCAAATGCCCTACCACTGTGCTATCACTCCAGTCTATGGCCATACCACCCAGAACCGTGCCTGATCTCATCTGATCTTGGAATCTAAGCAGGGTCAGACATGGTTAGTACTTGGATGGAAAACTTTATGGTTATCAATTTTTAATTATAATTATTTTTATTATAGTTGAAATAACACAGTTGCATCAGTGTTAAAGTTTATGCTTTTAGACAATGAAGTTACTGCATCTCCACCAACACCCAAGTAACACTCTCCGCCCCTTGTTCTTATATTAACTTTTAGTTTTTTGCTTCCTTCCCCACGTTCTGTAATCACCGCCCTATACTTTGTCCTCAGTTCCATAGTCAAAGAAGAAATTTTTTTAACATTAGATGCCAAGTCTGCCCTTGTTCCTTTATACCCATATATGAGTAAGATCATCCAGCAGTTGTCACCCCTCTGTTACTTCTTTTACTTAATGTTTTACATTGTAGTTCCATCTAAACTATAGAAAAAGGCAAGAGTTCATCTTTTCTTAGATAGATGAGACTTAAAATTTTCTTTATCTTTGATTTTCAACACGAGCACATCTCCAAATGAGGCTATTTCATTAATAATATGAAATGGCAGACATAAAGATAAATTGGATCAATATTTTGAATTTTAGTGAAATGAAAGATAACTAGAATTTCTGTGCCATATGAATTTCACCAAGAAAAAAAACAAATAAAAATAGCAAATAATTCTAATGAAAGTATACTCTAAGACAAAAATAAAAAGACTTATATTACTACACATCATGATAAATAGAAAATTTATATTTTTAATAAATAAAATTCTATTTATACTTAACCATATTCAATTTATTTATTTGTTTAAAATCATGAAAGCAATGTATAGTGTGTTTACAGGTAACTTATGTATTGCATAGTTGATGACATTAGAATGCAATATAACATTTGTGGTCATAATAGAAAATTGAAGATAATCAGGATCTCAATATAAATGGCATTACAAAAATCTGTTTTAGCTAAAAATATTTAAAAAGAGATAAAAAGATATTCCTAAGGACTTAAAACTAAATATTTCAATATTTAGAATGTTTACTTTTAAGTAACATCAATCTAACCATCGAAAAATCTTAAAAAGAAGCTACTGAAAATAATGTAATCATGAGGAATGAACATTTATTCCAATAAAAATAAGAGTTATATAAATACACTGTGGAGCTACATAGATTTACCATGAATTTGAAATTGTTGAAAGTAGGTAAACGGGTATACATGATAACCTTTTAGTATCTGTAATGCAAACTATAATGCCCCAAAAGAAAGAGAGAGAGAGAGGAGAGACAGAGAGACAGAATCACAGGATAAAGTCCCTGCCATTGACGTGGGGGGAGGGGTGGTGAGGGTCAAGGAAACTGGGAACTGGAAACATTGGTGGTGAGGAATGTACACTGGTTAAGGGACAGGTCTTGTAATAGTATATGATTGAGACCCAATCATGCCAATCATGAACAGTCTTGTAACTGCATATCTCACTATGATCCAATTAAAATAAATAAATACATTTTTAAAGACTGTATGAATGACTTTGATGAAACTCCATTCTTTGTGAATTCCTCATTAGGTAGGTTTGGCAACATGCTCACAGTATGGAGGATCCTGTTTTATTTGAGGGAAAACTTGGGATCAAAAGGAAAAACAAATTCAAGGCAAAATATTTTGGAAAAGTTTCATGCACCCAAAACTTCTTTCATGGATAATCTTATTTTACTTGGTGGTGTCTGATTCTACCAAAAGCAATCAGGAGCAAGTTTGAAAATATAAGAAAATCTCAAAACTGCTGCTGACTCAACATTGTATGACCTGTACTTTCAAATGGCCAGAAAATAAAACAGTATCTTTTATGTCTTCTGTTTGCTAGGAGCATTTAAGTCTTTCTTATGTTAGCAGAATTGCTGGGTTTCAAGAAGGTCAATGCTCACATATCAAGCAATTGATAGCAGCACAACTGAAGCTGTAACCTTGGTGATCTCAGGGACAGCCACGCCTGGTATGTGTCAAAATTATCAGCAGTGTCATTGGAGTTACTGGACTGTGAGTCTGTGTACAACAAAAATGTAGGAAAATAGAAAAAGGTGTGATGCCTCCTGTGATACACAGAGGTAAGATCCATGCTAGATAGAGCATAAGCTAAATACTGACTTTTCATGTTGCTGGGGTATGAGTTCAAAGTGTGGATATGCAATGCGTGCTTTTAGTGGCCAAGGGCTGCCTCCCCACCCCAGCCTTTCAACAGTGATGGTGGAAGAGAGGAAGGAATGGGACTACCAGGTTGGTTGGCAATCAGTCACCATTTACCTCAGTCTCATAGTGTTAGTTACAGAGAAATCATGAAGGGTTGGGGGTAGAAATTACACATAGGCATGGTTGCACAATGAACAGATGTAAAGTC